CGGATGGTTGAGTTGTAATCGCGGATGGTCCAGGTGAACTCGAAGACGGCTGAGTACTCGTGGATGCTTGAGTACCAGTTGTGGTCTCGTCTGATTTTCGCTTACGGCGTGTTTCAAAATCCTTGTTCTTAGCTCGATTTTTCTGTTGTCGCTTTGTGACGTTTTCTTTGCGTGAGCAACCTGTAGTATATATTGACTTATTATTATGCTGTAAATGATAGTCAAAGTAAGCACAGGGAATAAGCCATGTTTTGGCGAGGAAAACTATAGGCAATGAAAAGCAAACATTGCGTCAAAGCAGGACTGTTACGGTTTAGTCAGGATTAATCATGTGCACATGTGATAAATGTTAATTACATGACAAACACAAAAATGCTTCACGACTGAAAACGTGCTCATAGGGGACTGGAAACTAGTGAATATATTTGCCTAATTGACTCGCGTCTGAATTAGAGAAACGCAATAATGTGACGTCATCATGTGACATCATAAAACAGCGAGGGATTTCCTTCCCAACTGGTCGAAATTTTCATTATTCTCAATGTAATATGTGTAATATATACAGCCAATTTAAAAGAGGTTGTCCTTTGCAACCTTAAAACGTTAAACTCTAAGTGCGCATAACTTAATGGAAGCACAAGTTTCAAGCTTAGTAGTTGAATATTGCAGCTATTTGTGAACGAATTGTTCTCGTAAGGAAATGTTTTACTCCCATTATATGCTTTGCGCGCTTAGAATTTAAAGGCGCGATGTCACCAATTTTGTCACCTAAAATGCCTTTTATTCAGAAACTCAACTACAAAGTTAAAAATCAACGTTGTAAATAGATTAAGTTATAATATATGAGTCATATTAACCACGCAACATGTACTGACTGAGATTTTCATCAAAAATTGACTAAAACTTGAAAAAGTGTCTGCCAACAATTAATCAAGATGCCATTTACAATCCGTCTCAATCCTGACGTAACCGTGCCCATCCAGACTTCTGTACATGTTTTTTGTGTCTGTTATTGCTTTATTTTGTGCTTACACTCATTCTTTTTTCAGTTTTGGGCAAAATTTGCGAGGGTTGGGTATTGCTCAAAAATTGGTGACATTGCCCCTTTAAGGTTTAGAGTTAAATGTTTGCAAAGGACAATATATTTAACAAATATAAAACATTTTCCGTGTTGATATACAGTTATATCAACACGGCTCTTAGCCAGTCAGAACTATCCTGGCTTTATGTCAATTTTTACTACATGTCACGAAATCATTGATCGAAAATCCATCTCCTGTAACTTATGAAATTCACATGGAATTTCCAGCCCCTATATAGCTTCCACCTCTATTTACTCGCTTGCTGTTGAACGGCAACTGAAATTTACGCCCGGCGCACACACGGAAGCCATTTGGCAATGCTGCGCATCTGCAACATTTTGCACTTTATCTAACACAAATGATTTGCTCTTTCTCTCTAAGGGCAAACGCATGTGAATCGAGCACGTTTCAATTTTGAATTTTTTGCATTATGAAAATTATTTGTTAGCCAATGCCCGATATTTCTAAAGTCCATTCACTATTGTATTCTGTGATTTATATTTAAAGATAGACATTTGACTAAGATAACCTATATTCATGCCTTTGCCACGACACGGATCGTGTTTATAAGGCTTAAGTAAAATATTCAGTTAGCGAAATGTTATTCAACTGTGGGTATTTACATACCTGGCGAACCTTTTCCCAAACCACGCTTGTGGGTGCCTTTCGCTGGAGTATTACTGGTAGACTTGGCAGTTGCTTCTGGTTGCACTTGCGGTACCGTTTTCAACTTCTTGTCGCATAAGCTGGTTTTGAATACGCCTATTCAATATGAAATAGGAAGCAGTGTTAATTGAGATGGGTTAATTAAAACAACGAGTAATTGAATTAATAACTTGGAGCTTACCGTCATCTTTGGCAAAGAGCGATACATAAAATTCGTTACATCGCTTTAATAATTCACGCACATTCTCGTCTCCTTCCAGGGCGGTAGCATTTTTCGTTATGGACACAAAAATATTTTTTAAGTATAACTCCCACTCCTGAGATTCGCCCATCTTCCTGATCTTCGTAACGCAGCACACAAATTTCCTGCGCCCGGAGCAAGCTATTTATATACCGGGTTAGCACTAAAGCTCTATGATTGGACAACGTTCGACACGTGACTCTTAGCAAGTGGCACCACATATGGCGTGATTTAGTGGCGCCACCTTCATAATCATTCCATTATTTTATATCGGTCAGTATATAGGTCAGTGCCTAAAAACATTGCGGAAAGCGGCGTATAATACCGCGCATGCGTGTTACACATGCCACATGCGCGCTTTGTAACACATCTCAAAGGATTCATTGTTGTATATTAAATATACATATTTATGCTTTTATAAAATGGTTTTCCCAGTTTACTTCATCATGGTGCCGCCGTAGAACGTGTGGTTATTTTATTACACGAATAAAACGAGCCCTTTGTTGGAAATATGACATACAAAAGGAATGGATTCAATATATTTTATATAGTCACATGGCCGGTAAGTTTGACATTTATATCGTTACTGCCTCAGGAAATGGAAACAAAACACTAATGAAAAGGCGGGGATTATGTTGTGTTTTCAAACAACTATATATCTAACAACTATTATATCGTATATAATAAATAATTCATCACTTTTCATCATCCTTATTAGCAAGTCACATGGTCCGCTAAGATATCATTTGATTGGCTACTTCTATTACTTCGTACAAATATGAAATAGGAATCTCATTAACTGGAGTGTCCAGGCCAGTCATGGAATAACTAAACAAAATTCTTTCAGAAACAAAATTTTTATTTCTTACTTCAATTAAAGAACATTAAAGATGTGCACAAAAGAGCCCTCTTTTTATTTACAAACAGTTTATTTAGGTTTTTATTTCATTTTCTGTTCTTGCAAAGCGTGATTGTTGTCTCTTGATAATTTATTATACTCTGGAATCATGAAAATATAAGTAGTTGTCGAATAAAATTCAATATTTTGGGATACCGAAATGTAAACAAAGCCTTTGTTTACATCCGGACTGTACCGAATCTTTAAAGAAGATATTGTGTTACCACTATAATTCTGTGAAACTGGCCAGGGGCCACCCACTTCACGACTCCAGGGGTCACACTAATTTTATTTATTTAAATCAATTAGTAATGGCTACGGATACTAAGACGAGAGATTGTCTCACGATTTTATTTTCGATTTGATGTCCCTGTTTTACTGATTTTTTAACTATTTTTTGTGTTTTAGTAAAAGTCAACAGTCAAATTATCCTACATAAGACATACTATACTGCAAATCCTCAGGAAATTGTTATAATTTGGCCTCTAAAAAGAAAATATCCTTCATAAATTTCATATTCTGACTGGCTCATCTCAGCACATCAGCCCTCGATCAACTCTAACTACACTACACATTATAAAAAACATTTGTTCACATTCATATTTATATTGTAATAACATTCACTATTACTGTATTATTCAATCTTATTTTTATCTTATATAATAACTGTAAAATTCAACCCCTCCATTTCTTGTAGAAAAAATGACCATATTCTCTGCTGATTTTATAAACTTCAGTCCTATGGCTCTGCACTATGCAGCAAAAGTTTTCTTTGTATTTTGGTAGTTGTTCATGCCACATTTATTATAACAAAAAGTCCACATATTTATGCCCGATGCTCGTCGTATTCCCAAATTTACAATTTTCAGAGGATTTGCAGTATGGTATGTCTTAATATATATGAATGTATAACTGTTGACTTTTAATTATTATCCGTAGCCATTACTGCTTTGTTTTTCACTCACTTTGACAACATTCAAGAGGGAAATATACACTAAATTTTTATCAACATTCATTGAAAACATCACGTCTTACCTACTAATTGATCTAAATAAATAAAATTAGCAGAAATCCAGAATTCCTGGAGAAAAACTTTCAAAACAAAACAAATAACAAAATCGAAGACAAAGTGTTTATCCGCATTTGACGTCACAAAATAGCATACGCACGCTGACGCCACAATTAAAAGAAAGGTCTATTCCGTGATGTGCTTGGAACTGATTTGGGGGGTGAATTTCGCCACTGTTCGCCTCTTATCACGTCTCGTTTGGGCTTTGGACGGTGCTGGGATCCCCCCTGGTTGCCCCTGCGTGCCCCTGGACCGGGGGGTTGCACGTTTCCCCGCACTGCGGGCGTGGGAATTTCGTATGAACTGACTGTCTGTATTCTGCATAATTCCGTGATGTGCTTGGAACTGATTTGGGGGGGTGAATTTCGCCACTGTTCGCCTCTTATTACGTCTCGTTTGGGATTGGACGGTGCTGGGACCCCCCCTGGTTGCCCCTGCGTGCCCCTGGACCGGGAGGTTGCACATTTCCACGCACTGCGGGCGTGGGAATTTCGTATGAGCTGACTGTCTGTATTCTGCATAATTCCGTGATGTGCTTGGAACTGATTTGGGGGGTGAATTTCGCCACTGTTCGCCTCTTATCACGTCTCGTTTGGGATTGGACGGTGCTGGGACCCCCCCTGGTTGCCCCTGCGTGCCCCTGGACCGGGGGGTTGCACATTTCCCCGCACTGCGGGCGTGGGAATTTCGTATGAGCTGACTGTCTGTATTCTGCATAATTCCGTGATGTGCTTGGAACTGATTTGGGGGGTGAATTTCGCCACTGTTTTTTTTTATGAACTTTATTGGCTGACCTTTGATAAACGAATTTAAATACACTAAGAACAAAATTATAGAGGAAATATTCGACGAAATGGCCGAAAAATTGAAAAATATCACCGGTAATATATCGACAACAATAAGCACGAGGGAACCGGACTCGTCCTTCGCACGCTACCGCGTCGACCAGTTTAAATCCACTAAAGCAAGACAAGTTCCATACGAAAAATTGGACTACAACATATACAAAGCATCTTCGAATGTCGTAGCCTTCACCACGTCGGAGGAAAGGATTGTAAAATGGACAAAAGCAATTTTTTTGAGATACCACGTGGGCCTGCATATCAACGACAACACATATAGCCTCAAATCCCTGTGGGAAGAACAAACGAGCCCGAACGACGATTCTAAATGCGACAAGATAACAGTACATCTCTCTCGAAAAGATAGCAAACACAACGAGAACCTTGTTGCAGTAATAATCTACGTCAGTACGGGGAGAATACAAATACAAGGTAAATATCTTCTTGAGTGGGGCGACAGTGAATTCATCGCTTTGCTCAACATTGTCAACGCAATTCGAGACGGAGAAATATCGGACGAAATTCAAGAATCATCAGTCAACGATCTTGGCAAGTTCATCGACCTGATCTCAACCCCCAAAACACTAGAAATCCAAGAAAACATTGAAATCGAAAATGACGGCGCAAACGAACCCACATTCACCGAAAATGAAGAAACAAATATGAACAGTCCAGAGCCGCGAGAGAAATCCTTTACCGCAGTGAAGAACACGGTTGCAAATGTAGAGTCCGAATTCATATTATTCAAACAAGAAATGTATAAATCGTTTGCTGCGGTTCAAGCTACACTGAAAGAAAAAGACCAAAGAATTGAACTCTTAAATAAAAGAATTGCTGCCCTAAAAGCAATAAATGACCTTCTTAACAAACAGCAAAATATAAAGAAACAAGAAGAGTTTGAGAATAAACTTAACAAAATTGAACAACATCTATTAGCCAAATCAAGCCCATTGCCAGATCAGAAAGTAGAATCTGATGAAGCCCAAGAACATGCCTCACACCCCAACTCCCCAAATAATACAACAACTTTCCAAGAATCTAATACCCCTGAGACAAAAATGTCAGATGACAAAGTTATCTTCACACCGAACATCCCCACCAGCAACACTTTCTCTTCCCTCACGGATGAACATGAAGACACTATTCCCTGCACCAACCCAGATACTACACCACTTGAACACAAAAACTACAACCCACAAAAGACACCCTCTGCTGAAAAGAAAATCATCACAACAGAAACAGTAATCCTCTGCGATTCAAATGGCAAACATCTTGATATGAACCTTCTATGTCCAGGAGCAACCACATCCTATATCAGATGTCCCACAACAGCCGAAGCGATCAAAATTCTAGAACAGCACACATTTACAAACCCGAAGAATATAATCATCCACTGTGGAACAAATGACATTGAGCATATCCCAAACAAAGCTGTTAGTGACAACATTGAAGAACTGATAAAAACCATCCGCAAAGAATACCCTAGTTGCCGGATTATTATATCCAGCCTCTTACCTCGCAGTGATCATCTCCTGTCACAAGTCCAAATATTAAATCGACAACTGGAAAGAACAATATCTAAACAGTCAAATGTCTTACTTGTAAGACATATCAACCTCTTCCAATCCATCAACATCCTGATTGATAGAAAGCATCTGAACAGAAAAGGTGTTAAACTTTTTGCCAGAAATTTGAAGGGTGCCTTCTTTTCAAACAAAAGTCAAACCAAAATTGGAAAAGGAATTAAGACAGCAAGGCACCAACATTTCCCAACCCAACAGATCCCATACCACACCAAACCACAATACCATAATTCACAACACAGCATGTTTCATCCAAGTATCTCACCTCTTATGCAATCAACACATATAAACCACGATGACCTCTCTATCCAATCACAACGACACCCATCAATAAATCCAAATGACTGGAATACAAAAGCCGCAAGCTCAAAACCCATGGCCAGCAACCATATACCACGTCACTTCAGAGAACTAATTCAAATCCTTCATGGATTCACTCAATAGAAACTG